AATTTCGCACGCTCCTTTTCACGAGGATACAATGGGAAGTGGCACTGGACCGTCCTTCATCGACATCCTGATGATGAACAAATACTACAACTGTCTTAGTGTGTTTTTTAGTCATTTTACAAAACAGGAAGACACCAAAAGATAGGATCTATACAGGCTTAACCAAAACAGCTATAGCCTAACAGAAGTGATTTCTGAAATAGCTTGCGAAAAAAAAACCCCCAACATAATGAATGAGGTAGCGGAGACAGTCAAACAACGAAGTCCAAATCCTACCGTAATAAATGAGGTAGCGCAGAAATCGAAGAACGAGGGAAGAGACAATATATATCTTGGCAGCTTGTAGAGGTCCAGAAAAATTGGCTGCGCCTTAATTTCTTAACTAGGCGTTAGTCGAACCATCTGCTGGTAAATTGATAACTAAGAAAAAGAAAGTTTGCGCACCTTTTTTATAAAAGCACCCGCAATTTTACATAATAATTAGCAAAGTTATTAGCAAAACACTTGACTGTTAAAGCATGAATTTAAAAGCACTTTTCATGAAAGGCGAGAGCAGATGAAAGTCATGGCATCGGTAGCATGTAACAATACCTGCTAACAAGGCTATCGACGGCTCCCCTTTTTCGAGGGTTGCTTAGAAGCAAGCTATTGACGGCTTTGACTCCCAAGCATGTGCTAGTACCAATTCATCATCCAAATGAATGGGCGAATCATAGATGGATGGGTTGCCCCACCGAGTCCTCGACTTATTTGTGCGTATCGCTACGTCATGCCAGCCGACCCTTTTTCTGAAATTTTTTAACTTGGAAGTTTATTTCTTTAAAAAGTAATTGACTTTTATATTTTAATGATGAAAAGTTTATTTTGTAGTACTTAAAGCATGACGCGCAAGAGCTTGTGGTAAAAACGTATAGTCGTTCTGCCTCTCGGTGCGCTTCAGTTCCCATCGAATTTGATCACATTTACAGGCAAATGCCCAAATAAACTTGATTGTCAGAATGGTGGATATGCTCATCCGAGGGACTGCAATCGATGTTTGTGCCCGTCTGGATATGGTGGAAAATACTGCCAGCAAAATGTAACTTGATTTTTTTTAAAATCACAAGAAAAACTGAAGACCGAATATTTATGTCAGAACGAAATTTGGCTTAGCGAATAGGGAATACACTGACTGCAAAATTATCACGACATCTCTTTTTATGTGAAACCTTCAGTGATCTCGAAGCGTAGTCACGTGGATAAAGTGGATTATTGAGTCGCGTCCACACGACGGTAATTCAACTTGCGTTAGGTCTTCCTATCTCTGAAAGTATGTCCAGGAGCACCGCGGTCCATACTAGTGTGCACTCACCGTTTCTTCGGAAGTCAACTTCGTTTCCTTCTATTAGCGAACCAATTGCCATGTCTACTAATCTTTTCAACGAATGACTTATCAGCACCAGAAACTGTCGTACTAACGAGGTCCAGAAGTGTTTGGCTTAATGAACTGAATCATTTCCGTTCGTCTGGCTATTTTTATGCGTTTTTTGCAGCTATGCAATGCAAAAACGCATATTGACGAGGGGTTGCCTGTGTGTCCGTGTGTCTGTG